AATTTATATTTTATTGTTGTTACAACAATCCACTATGTCAAATGAAGTATGAGAAAAAATGTTAAGATTTTTTTTAAATTAAAGATTATTAGAGTCGTTTTTTTTTAAATTAAGAATTTTAAGATTGTTCTGGGAAATAAAAAGTAATTAAAATTCATAACATGTGCTATGTATTTATTGGATAATGAATTTTTTAACAGGCATAAACTATTCAACTTTAAATAATAACATAGTGAAATGTTAGACACTAATTTTAATAGAAAATATTAAATACTTAAATAAAAATATAGTTTAGATATTTAATTGATTATATTACTAACATTAATCTATAGAAAATTTGAAATAAGTAATTGAATATTTCAATTATATCTCATCTAATTAAATTCGTAAATTACAATTACTTATATATAATTTTTAGTAATTATATGAATATATATATATAATTAATCACAAAAATTAATATAATTAAAAACAAGGCAGTCATTTTTCTAAGGTTAATTATGTCAAATGTAGCCAAATTTACGAAATCGATAGTATTTTTCTTTTTTTAAATTTATTGTCAACAATTCTCTAACATATGAAAATCTGAATGCTAAGAAAAAAATGTGAAAACTTTCTTTTAAGAATCAACACAACAATTATGCTGGTTTTCATTTACTCCTGCAGCTGAATGCTCAGTCGCAGCTCAATTACTGCTCCTCTCAGAGTCGTATACCGCGTGCCGTTCCGCATGTTCTCAGTCTCAACTCAGTGAGTCACCCTGTCAAAGTCCTCGCCCCACGACTCCGAAGAGACCAACCTGTTTTTTGTTCTCTTCCAAATGCAAAACTCCTATAACCACCGGAGGGTACGACAAGGCCTACCGCTGAAGATCGTTCCCTTACAGGGCCAGGTGTCATTTCGTGTTATCTGCCACTCATCATCCATCGGCGGAGTCATCGGGAGCTCCGGCGCCGTGGTTTCTCAACTTCGCCGCGAGACTAACTCTCGAATCCACTGCGAAGAAGCTTTCCGCGGGTCGGATCACCGGGTTATACTGATAGTCGGGCCTGGATCGGTCGATAGACGGTTTAGTTTGGGTGAGAGAGAAGAATGTAATGTTTCGTGTGCTCAGGAAGCAATGATCAGGGTCTTCGAGCGCATGCGGGAAGTGGAAGCGGAAGCGAAGAGAGAATGGGGAAACGCGTGCGATGGGAATGAAGAAGAAGCTTACTGTGGTGTACTCGCTGATACGGAACAAATTGGTCTCGTTGTGGGGAAAGGAGGGAAGAATATTGTGAGAATGAGGACGGACAGTGGAGCTAAAATTAGGATTTTGCCGGCGCCTCCATGCGGAAAAACAACTGATCAGTTAATTCAGGTAAGGGGTTGTTTCTCAAGAAAGTGAAAGAAAATCAAAGTATTGAAACAATATACCACATGCAGTTTTCCTTTTGTGTAGCTTGAACTAAATTAATGGCGGAAACTTTATTCATATTGTCTGAATCTGAAATGTTTGTGATTAACTGTATTAGTACTGCCTGCAATTGAAGGATGAATACATGAATCAGATTGTCAAATTGGTGGAGAAAGACTTGCATTATGAATTATGTTTGGACGTGATTAATATCACTATAAGTTGTTTGATTATTTTTAAAAATATGGCAGATAACTGGTTGTTCTTTGACGGTCAAGAAAGCGTTGGTTGTTGTATCTTGCTATCTTCAAACTTTTCATCTATGGTTGCTAATGGAGACTCCAAACTAGCTTCAATTGATACACGAAAAGTAGTCTTTAGAATGCTTTGTTCCAATGTGGCTGCTGGAGCCATCATTGGTAAGAAGGGTGCCATAGTCAGAGCTTTGCAAAATCAAACAGGTGCTTCTATAATTTTCGAGTCCCCAGAAATTGAATATCGCGAACGTGTTGTCTCCATTTCTGCATTGGAGGTTAGTCCCAAAGCTGATTTCAGAGGTTTTCCTAATTCCATTAGTTTTTATTGACAGCATTACCTGTGCATATCTTCTTTCTGAAAATGGCTTTTGTTTACTGTAGAACCTTGAATCACAGTATTCTCCTGCACAGAATGCTCTTGTCCTTGTATTTGCAAGATCTGATGAATCTAATATTGAAAAAGGGTTTTTGTCTGGCATGAGTAAGGGCATTGCTGTAACTCTTAGGCTTCGAGTCGCTTCTGATCTTGTTAGCTGCTTGAAGGAGAAAGAAGGTAGGGTACTTTATGAGATTGTAGAATCCACTGGTACTGATGTGCAAATCTTGGATGAGGAACTCTCACTGCGTCATTCTCCAGAGAAAGTAGTGCAGGTGCAAATATTAACTTCTTTTAGCAATGGTGCTTCTTAAGTTTGTCCATATGTAGGAAGGATCAATTGAGTTCCCATTATTTTCGGTCAAACAGCTGTAGATGCTTACACAATGTGATTCAATTTTATTGATGATGCAAAATATGTTACATTATTTTAGTATAATTAGCATTTTCTTTTCAAAACATGATTTTTAAAATATAAGAAGAATCTTTCTTAGCTCCATTGGGGGCAATTTTCCCCTTTTGGCATGCAATACAAGTTCTCACTCCTTCCATCTTTTTGGTGAAATATCAATAGCATAACTTTCAGTTGTAGTGATGTTTCCTTGCTGTACCAGGGCTTTTTCAGCCTCTTGTATAATTTCCTGTTTTTAGTTACTTCAAATAGTGAATTTTTGGGTGCCACTCATAATCAATTTCATCTTGAAGGAGGGATCATTGATGTATTACTTCTATCCTTGCAGATTACTGGTGATTATAAAAGTGTGCAGAACGCCATCTTTCAAGTTACTAGTAGACTAAGGGATAGTCTCTTGCAACCTGAAGTGCTGAACGAAACTAGTGGGGGGGCTTGCCATGGAGAAGTAAGGGAGACAGGTCCGTCTCAAGTGCTCCAACAAACAAGCTCAATATTAGATAATGATCATGGACCTAATTTAGCTCAAATAATGCACCCGGGGAACTCGGAAAATGGTACACAGCCAGTAAAACTGCTGCCACAACGGGTAAAATATATTTTCCTTTTGTTTCCCTCTTGAAATATTGCTTTCACTAAGATTATTGGAATATGCACAAGGACCTCAATGCTTGGGTGGGTTTGTTTGCAGACTGCAGGAAATGGGCATACAGTTGCCATGGATGATAATCAGCATGGCTCAACTACATTTGGAGGGAGTTTTGACATTGAGAGCTCATTGGATTTTCTACTTCCATGTGATATGCTCAATGAAGTGGGAGGCAAGAGCCCCTACAATGGAGGGACTGAGACAAATTTTTCTGGTTCGCTTCAATCATTGGATGTGTCTGTTGTTTCTGATCAAGAGTGTGCTTTAACAAGAGCAGCGGATAATATTGAACTCTTTGATGGTGTAGACTGTCCACCAGAATCTCAGCTATTAGAGGTGAAAGGTTTTATTTATTCTTTTGCGGTTTTCTTTGTTGCTTCGGCTGCCTAAGTAATCAAAGGACATTAGTTCTGTCCAAGGAACTAAAGTGTTTTTGGGCTGGCTGCGATTGCAGACTGTGAGAAGAAGACATGGGCTGGACAATTCAGATGGTAAAGGGGGTCTAGAACTCGAAAGGTTAGTATTATACAAGAATAGCATTGCAGCTGTTTTTCTGCCTCCTTTGCTTTTAAATTAAGCAAGGAAAGTGTTTTACATGTATATCTTTATGGTTATGGAATCGAAATATGTACACTATGATAGCTGCTGCCATGAGTAAAATAGTAGGCCATTGCTTCCTACCTTTTGTTGGAGGTGGATTCATCACATACTTAGGTTATCAGGAATTCAGTTCATTTCACATTTAATAATCCTCCCTAACTAAGGGACACTTTGATTTGAGACTAATCAATAATGCTTCTTGCTAATCTGTGCTGTGTGGGTAGTTCATGATACCATCTGACTTATTCTCTTCCATTGAGTGATCGAGTGTTACAACCACGCTTGTTGCTAATATAATTATTGCAAAAATTAATCTGATTTTGAGTTTCTCAATATGCAGTGGTAAAAAATCCACTATTGTGAAAAATACAGGTGTAGAAATTGTTGTTCATGAAGATGCTTTTGGCTCTATCTACGGGAAAAATGGCTGCAACCTTGCTCGTCTCAAAGAGGTAATAATCAATTGCACTTGAAAAAAAGGGCCTCTGTGCATTCTGTATTTATAATCCGACCATTTCCTGAATTATGTACAGCATTTTTCTTATAAATTTATGTATGGAACTGCAAAATCAGATCTCAGGTGCAAAAGTTGAACTTAATGATCCTCGTCCTGGTGAAATTGAGGGGACCGTGTTGATATCTGGGACACCAGATCAAACGCTTGTAGCACAAAGCTTGCTTCAAGCTTTCATCCAAGCCAACCAGTTATCATCATAACCAGATTGCTTGCTAGAATCAATGTTTGTCCATCATTCCCTGTAAAATCCCTGTAGAAAAATACTAGAGTATAAGAGGGAATGTTGATATGAAACTGGTAATCTTAACAGCTTAACAAATATTTTAAAACAAACGAAGTAATGGGAAATTAAGGAAGAACTCATCTTCCTTTTTGTTTGAATATGTAAGTTGAATTGCAATATTTGAATTAATTGTTAAACCGTCTACCCCAGGGTTGTGTTAGTGTTTGTTTTTGTTAAAAAAAGTTCATATATTTGAAGTGATAATCGACATGCATTACATTCACATATCAAAGCTGAGGCAGCTGAGAATCTGCTTAAATTAATACACTTGTCAATTGCTAATACACTTTCAGTGCAAGTTGACGTTTCCCATCTGCCCAACCTCATTTGGAAGACATTTAAACAAGAACATGAAACAGAGTAAAATAATAAATAGTTGCCTTTTGTTTTTCCTTTTCTTGGGGGTGGTTGGGGGATTATATATCTTCATCTACACCAAAACTTATTTCATTTATGTTATCTTTATACTGTCGTACTTTGACCATCATTTGTATACGTCTTTCAAAGTTGTATTTTGTATTTTTTTCACGAAGCTTTGAAAGCATGGTCCCTATCTGACATTGTTTGAACCCTAGGTGAGTTCTCCCATCATATTTAACGTTCTCGATAACTTGACGTTGAGTTGTGGATTTTGATTAATCCCCAGTGCTAGATTCCAATGTTCTATTTGTGCTTGAACTGCAAGGCTTCTCTTGGCCTTCCTAGGATAGATAGGACGGTTGCAGATATATGCCCTGAAGAAAGCCCTGCTTCTTCTATCTGATCTTGGTGTGATCCATGATCAATGTACTTATCAGGAAGCACCATTGCCCTAAACTGCAAACACCTCGAAAACTTATTACATATGAAAAAAGGTTAAGTAGATATTTAGAAAAGAAAAATGGAATATATATACCTTGAGAGATCCATCCAAAATGCCATTTAAGCTCAAGAAATGTGATACATGAGAGCCAAAGCCACCAATAGAACCCTCTTCCACTGTAATAAGAATCTCGTGCTCATTTGCTAGTTGCTTGATGAGATTTGTGTCTAGAGGCTTGCAAAATCTCGCATCAGCCACTGTTATATAAATGTTTTGAGACCTCAGCATGTTTGCTGCTTCAATACATTGTTGTACGATTGAACCGTATCCCAGAATGGCTACTCTTGTTCCTTCCATTATGATTCTTCCTTTTCCGATCTGCTCAACCATTGGAGAAGTGAACATGTAATTAGTTCACTTAGTTCGATTCTAATTTGTTCGGATATCTAATATTGATTACCTAACCTCGAGTGGTGTTCCTTTGTAATCACGAGGGATAACTCCACCAGCACCATTTCCCCTGGGAAACCTGAAGCAGCTAGGCCTGTCATCGATGGCTGCTGCTGTTGCAACCATATGTATAAGCTCGGCCTCATCAGATGGGGCCATTACCACCATGTTAGGCAAGCAAGCCATGTATGTGATATCAAATGCCCCACAGTGGGTTGGTCCATCTGCTCCGACCAAACCAGCTCGATCCATTGCGAACCGTACAGGTAATTTCTGGAGATCCACATCATGCACCACCTGCCATAGGAGTAAATTGTTTTCCAACTCAGTCAGGGAAATTGTGAAGGGAATCTGATCTTATCCAATGTAGTATGCCCATTTTTGAGAGCACACCTGATCATATCCTCGTTGTAAGAACGATGAGTAGATAGCACAAAATGGCTTGAGACCCTCTGTTGCTAAACCGGCTGCAAAAGTAACAGCATGTTGCTCTGCAATCCCCACATCGAAGCAGCGGTCCGGGAACCTTTTTTGGAAGTAATTGAGACCTGTTCCTCCACCCATTGCTGCATGGATGGCTACAATCTTGTCGTCAGCTTCAGCTTCTTTGATGAGTGATTCAGCGAAGTACTGCGTATACGACAGTGTAGGTGATTTGGACTTAAACTGCTTACCTGTTTCTGTGTCGAAACTTACAACACCTGAGAGCAGATTGAACAACAATGATCATTTTGACAAAGTCGTAACATCACAATGGATCAAGAGTTGTGATCTTACCATGCATTTTGTCAGTTGCTGCCTCAGCCGGGGGATATCCCTTTCCTTTCTCTGTCACGATGTGGATTAGGACCGGCCCCGGGGCAGGCATGACTTTCACTTTCTTAAACATAGCTACTAAATCTTCAATATTGTGTCCATCAACCGGACCGATGTAATACAGCCCTAGTTCCTCAAAGAGAGTGGAGCCAGAAGCACTGATCATTCCTCTTGCATACTCATCTACCTTTGCAGCAATTTCATGCGCTTGACCACCAATTTGCTTAGTAATGCCCTTCAACAAGTAGTATCCATTGTCAGATTTCAGCCAATACAAAGACGGGAGACGAACGACCTGAATTATAAGACAAATGATAACAAAGCATGGAGAATTTACTTTCGCCGTTTCCCGAAGTTTTCGGAACTTAGAGCTTGCTTGAATCTTGGTTAAAGTCCTACTAAGAGCTCCAACAGGAGTAGCAGGACCTTGTAGAGTAGCAGTCGGTAGTGATACTTGTTTATTGTCGTTCAATACAACAATCAGGTTTGAATCAAGGAAACCTGCATTATTCATGGCCTCATATGCAAGTCCAGCAGTCATTGCTCCATCTCCAATCACAGAAATCACATTGTTGTTCTTCTTCAAAAGGTCTCTTGCCACTGCCATGCCTACATTAACAGTAAGAAACTCAAAAGTTACAATTATATACCTCATGTATTATTACATTTCATATAGTTTTTTTTTACAGAGATAAGCAAATACCAAGTCCAGCTGATATGCTGGTAGAACTATGTCCAACACCAAAGGCATCATATACACTCTCATCCCTCTTAGGAAACCCTGCAAGTCCTGAAGTTTTTCTTATGGTGTGCATCCTCGACCTTCTTCCTGTCAGGATTTTATGAGGGTATGCCTGCAAATTTGAAAGATGCTATTTATATATAAACTCCCATATGGAAAGAAACAAAAGCAAGTCGGCTCTCTCGATTCTCTCACCTGATGCCCGACATCCCATATGATTTTATCTTCAGGAGTATCGAATACATGGTGTAAAGCTATTGTCAACTCCACTACTCCCAAGCTCGAACTAAGATGCCCTCCGGTCTTCGATACCGTGTGCACAATATCAGCTCTAATCTCTGCAGCCAGTTGCTCAAGTTCCTAAAGACGATACATACATACATATATGTACATGTAAGAGAAAACTGGGAATGAGAGCGCAAAATCAAGGACAGGACGACAAGCTGATTATGGAGTTCTTTTAGTTTTACCCTTGTTGATAAGTTCTTCATATGAAGAGGGTAATTGATGGTGTCCAACAATGGCGTATTCGGTTTGTTCCCGGAGAAATCGATCTTCCAGCCGTCGTTTTCTTTCCTCATACTCATTTGACATCCATCGTCGTCTTCCCTGTTTCCAGCGGAAGCTTTCGGATTGAACTGGAGAAAGAACACACGCAAAACAAGCAAAACCACCATTTCAGACATGAAACCACGAACAAAAAAATGAAACAATGAAAGTAAAACGCCACACAAAAACCAGAAACATTTGAACATAGAAAAGAACAGAAAAACAGACAGCAGAACATGTAAAGTGTATGTACTAATGTTTATGGTAAAGATAAACTACTGACATGTTTTTTGCAACAAAGGTTTGGTCTTTTAGGTTTGAGAAATGGAAAAGGGGATTGGTTTGATCGAACCAAAGAGCCAGAAACCGCCATTTTTGTGTGGAAAATTGATTGAGAGAAATGAGAATAGTGAAAGCTTAATATATATAGAGAGGGTAAATGCATTACGTGTCATGAATGTCCATACAGCTATTATTTATAGTCACTGCCTTATTTGTCACCAAATTATTATTGTTTTTCTACTTTGATCCTCAACCGATTTAATTGCAAAATTATCCTTAATTATTAATTTTATCCTTAAAATTATCTTCAAACGTTTTTATTGTAAAATTGTCTATTAATTCAATAAAGAGGGTAATATAATATGACATAATAATAATTTATATATTGTATTAATTTAATATTAATTTAAAATAATTTAATAAATTCTTAATGTTAAAAATTCTATCAATTTAATCCCGATTTTAATTAAAAATAATTTCATAAATTTAACTGGAACAATTATGACATAATTGTATTTGTAAAAATAAGAAATATATAAAATAACATGCTAGGGATTAGGAAGAATTAAACCTGAGATCTAAAAGATAAACCAACATTTAATTATTACACCAAAAAGATAAACCCTATCATTATATTATTTTTTTTACATAAATATAATCGGGACCAAGGCTCTGCCAATATTTTTTAAAATATTAATTAAAATTAATATATATATATATATATTTAAAAAAATAATTAAAGAAAAATTTACCAGGCCCTCTCGATTTTAAAAAACATATTTGTGAAAAATAAAAAATACTTTAACCCTACTACAAAAATTCCTAGTTCCATCCCTGTTCACCACTCCTTTATCAATAAAGCATCACTAAAGCATATTCTTCGATATAGACAAAGTTTTTATGAAGGTTACTAGTTCTTTTAATGTTGGTTGCCATTCTCAGAAAAATGTTTCATTTTTCTTCGTATCTTTGGGTTTAATATTTTTGTTTTTGTATAAGTTTTTGTGTGTGAATATTGTCCCCAATTTTCTTTCTATGCTTCGGTAAATTGTAATTTTGATTCATTCCTTTACTTTTATTAATAAAATTCATTTGTCATTATTTAATAATAATAATAATATAATTTATTTTATATAGAAAATTGTATTAATCGTGAATTATATATATATATATATATATATATATTATAGAATCATCTAATTTTATTAAAAATAGAAAATATCTAAATTACAATGGAAATTTACAACCATAATTGTAAACTAAATATATAATAAGAATATTTTCCTAAGCACAGGGATCATACAAGAAAAATGTTAAAAAATTAACCAAATAAATCAAACAATAGATAAATACAAATAGATCTAACTGCATCGATAAACGATTGAAAGATCACCTTCATACCGCAAATCAATATTGAGCGATGTGAAAATACTATCCACGAACTCAAATCGCATATCCAAATTCAATCTGAGGGTCCAAAGTAGGGAATATCATCATGATAATAAATAAGCGTCATTTTGATCAGTTGTGGCGATGTCGAATCCAACCCTTTAAAAATAAACGAAAACAACGGCCAAACAATATAAATCGTGTCATAGAGACATATAAAAAATGTGCAATAAAAGCATAAGAATATGTGTCAAAATAACATAATTATTAAGAAAAAAAGAGAAAACAAGATACGCTATAATAAAATAAATAATAATAAATATTGGTGGTCGACAATTAATATTAAAACTGATGCCGATCGCCGATCACAAAGAAGAAGTAAAAAGAGTAACAGTGGCCATGAAAAAAGAGAGGAAAAAAAATAAACCCTAGTTAAGATAATATATATTTATATTAACTTAAAGTTAAATAAGTTTCACGCATTTTCATAAAAAATTTTACAATTAATATTTTAATAGTTCAACTGTTGAATTTTATTTTCTATTCGCAAAAGATAAGCATGTTAAAGTTTCAAATAAATTGATAATATCGATTTAGTTTATATGAAATGTTCTTAATAGTTAAATATATATTAATAAAGTTGATTGAACATTAATTTTTTATGCAAATAAAAGTAAGTAGTTAGTTTTATTAAAAAAAATATTTAAAACTATAATGGAGGTTTGTAATTATAAATGAATTAAATAATTTTTTATAATTATTAATACAAAAGCTAACTACTTGAAATCATACAAGGATCATTCAAGTAAAATGTTAAAAATTCATCAATAAAACTCAAACAAAAGATAGATATGAATAAATCTAACTATATCGGCAAACGAACCACAACAGAGGATCAAACTATTGAAAGATTATTCACAATCGCAAATCAAAGTCGAACGTTATAAGAAAATTAGTAAACTACCTACAAACACAAATTGTGTATCTAAATCCAATCCGTTGATCTAAAGCAGAAAATATAAACAACATAACAAATAAGTATCATCTTGATTAGTCGATGCGACATCAAATACAACCATGAGAAAATTAAACGAAAAGAACAATCAAACAACCGATAAAGAAGATAAAAATATACTAAAAAGTAAAAAAAACGTGTCATAAAAATAAAATCATTAAAAATTTAAAAATAATAATAAATAAAGATGTGACATAAGAAAATAAAAAGAAAAACAAAAAATACATAGGTTCAGCGATTAACATCGGGATTAATGCAGTCGCCGTCAATAAAGATGAAATGAGGAGTAAACGATGTTGTAAGTCTAGAACAAATTTAAAGTTTCTTTAACATTAATTTAATTGACACTTAATTTTGATAATGTAACAATCCGATTTTTTTGAGTCAACGTTCTAGTTGACCGGAGAATTTAGTTAATAGACTTAATATAGTATCTCCATCGGTTTGAATTTAAGTAAGGGTGAGAAATAGACTTAATCAGAGATTAAAAAAAGATTTTTGAGCTTGAGATGAAAAGAGAAGGACCTAGAGTGCGATTTTTCCGAATAAAATATTAGTTTAAGAATAAAAAGATACTGGGTATTTATCTCTTTCATGATTTTGCAATGAAAACGGCAGTTGAAACTCCAATTTATTTATTTATTTTAGTTGAGAGTCCAATTTATGAATGCAAAGGAAATTGTGGAACTTATCATACAATACAATGCAAACATGGTATCAACCATAGTAAGCCGGCTACCTCGTCTAGATACCTCCCTTCTTTTTCTTTTTTGAATTAATCACTCGTATTTGATTTATTGATCGACTAATCTAGATCGAGTACTGCAGAGGCGAGAGAGACCCTCCCAACCCAATTTGCTTCATTCACAAACGCCAGGATTCGAACCCTTGACCTTGTTTAAGGAATCTAGTGTCTCATCCCACTAGACCAACCGATTGTTGGTTCCTTCTATTTAATTTAACACACTTTCCACCAAAATAGTTTCCCCCTACACTTAGTTTCCCACTAAGACCTCCCTTCTATTTGTTTTTAACGCTTTCTATGTATTACCCATACCCATTTATTATTGTTGCTTTTATTTATCTTCTAAAGTTTGATTCATTGTTGCCACATAGTATCCAAATTTTGAGAAGATCATGGTGGATCCAACGCGGTTGAATTTGAAGGAGAAAAAAGAGAGAGAGTAAAATTCCAATTATTCATAAATACAAGTTATACTATTATTAGGACCGTACCCACAATTCGTGCAATTGATGTCAATGTGTATGGGGGAAATCAATATTCAATGCATAGTCATATATGCTTGAGTGGACACACAAAATATTCAACCTTATTTTTGTGGATCCATATTCACACGCACCATAATAATCCATCTACCTTAATTGGTTTCATATATATATATGGTGGCCTTCCCACACCTTCTTTTTATTGGTATGGAGAAATTATGTTCGAAAGATTCAATTATTTGATAATAAATATTTAAACACTCTTGCAGACATCATATTCAAACACAAGGCTTCTAGGGATAACAATCATCCCTGAATCACTAAAATTGTTTTATTCGAGCCTCGTACTTTATTCTTTACAGTATAATATGTATGTAATTATTTTGTTCTTAAAATTATCAAGAAAATAGTTTGTAGTTGGGGATCAAATGAATTTGTTTTTTAAATAATAATTTATTTTCTTTATTTTTGTTATATAGATAGAAATAATGAAGAAAACGTTAAGCAAGCATAAATGGAGGTTTTGTTAAAGCCATTTCTTTTCCTCTAACTTGAATGGTTTAATATGCTTTTTTTTTTGGAGCGGATCCTTATAAGTCAAATAAACCACACTAATCATATCAACTTCAATCTCAAAGAATTTGCACTTTTTGGATTTATTCACTTCCTCTTATTGACCTACTTTCCAAATATTCCTCTCACTTGAAATTTTTAATTAAAATAATCCTAATTCATAAACACATTAATGATGCATCTTTCCAAGTTAAAATAAATTTAGGGACGAGCAAATGATTTTATATAAAAAAAATGTGAATTTAAGAAATTATATTAAAATTTTAGAGAATTTTAAATTAAATCATCAATAAAAAATACATACTTAAATTGAATGATAACTTGAACTTTCCAAAATTACAATTGTACCCCAACACCCATTGATCACTGAACATAACTAAAATCCTTATGAATAATTAGATGTTTGCAATTCAAGCATACACATTGGGTTTGACATGTCAACATATTTCATATATCAAAACGAGGATGTATCAAAATTGCCGACTAAATTTGAACTCAATCAGCACCGTGGTTGCAACTTATTAGTTCAAATATGCTTCTAATTCAAGAATTATATCTAAAAAGGAAAAAGAAAACCAAAATTTCAAAACATGCATAACTTTACAGTAACTGAATCCACAATCAATCCAGAAGCTGATACATGGACAATTCTTAACAATCAAAATTGCTCAAATTGAAGCCCTTGAGTTATATTGTTTGTAATGTATTGTTTGCAGTTAATTCAAGTTACCCAGTTTACAAAAAGCCCAAGTCTTTTTTACAGCTTATGAATATACAAAGGTTAAGCAGTAAAAAAAAACAAGCTTTTAGGTTGTTAGGGGCAACCGTTTAGTGTATACAAAGAGGAACCACATTCATTAATGAATCAACAACTTAGTATTTGATTACATGGTGGCGTAACCAAAGATCATAAATAACCATGTGAAATGCATCATAC